TCAATTAATTAAATGAAACAAATTCATTTTGACTTACGCTTGAATATCAACCGCTCGATTCAACCCCAGTTTTTATGAGCCCTTGTCCACCTGGCCTCGCCATTACCCCTGGGGCTGTTCCATTACTGTGTTAGCTTGAGCGAAGTGTGTTAAATGACCCTTGGAGGAGCAATGGATCGAGTGAACACAACATCGACCCCTGCTAAAAGTGGCAGACAAGAGCTGTAGCAATAAAATACTTTAAAATACTTGCCATTTTAACCTATAACATTCAGTTTGCTCTGGTAAAACTGGAATAAGGTTGCAAACCCCTCTACCTGTTATATACGATGGCATTTCGTTACTTTATTCTGCTAGCTTGCCAGTTAGCAGACTAAAGGCTACACAGCTAGCAACAATATAGACAAAGGAAATGCAGCACAGCTCTAAAACAAAGCTTACAGCTATCAAAGCAGTTATTAACAAAATATGTGTGTATTCAAACCTTAAAAAATACCTTTTGCATTACAAAGTCTGCACAGCTAGCTAATTTGCTCACTGACACTGGACATACAGCTGGTCAGACAGCTGTAAACAAACTCATCCATTCTGACTGGTCCTGTCCTGTTTCTCAAGGAAATCTGAATAAGAGGCCTCCCTGGGTCTGCACTTTACAAAGGACTTTAAGGACAGTACTATAAGGACTTTGGCCTGCATCAATGTGGTCCTCACCAAAGGGTGCATAGAGGGCACACTTTGAATGCCAAACTGAGAAATGGGACACTTCATAAGCTCATGGCTGGAGTAGTATTGTATACATATACAGTGTAAGGTGCTAAAATTAAACTCTCTTTTGCCATTTTCTAAAATATATTGAGTTAAATGAAAAACCTTATCCACCTCCTGCAAAAAGAAGGCTGTGAAAACTTGGAGCATGCTCCAACTTTGTTGTTTTTGTATAAATTATCAAAATATATTGTATATACTTACATTATTTAACCAATATTTCTTGTGTATATTTTTATTTTGTGTCATAACCCCTCTTCCCCCTTTCCTTTGAGATGAACTTATTTTTTATTTTTCATTGCAGCGCCCCCTGGTGTGCGTTTGTTGTGCCTGGCCCCTGAGTGGTTTAGCCTGAACTATGACAGCACTGTGATGTTGTTTTCATGTTAAATGTTAAATGTTTTTAAGTTAAATGACATCATTTAGATGACATCATTAAAAAGCTTCACATACACGTGCAATTTTAGGGACCACTAAAGTACAGACAAAACTACTACTGAAACAGCTATACAGATCATCCATTAGGAGGAGTTTGTAGCAAATGAAATTTTTTGCTGGATTGTAGATTCAAACTAATTCTGAATTCTAAACTAAATCTTCACAAATCAAATTAATGTCACAAATTCCAAAATAAAAGTCGGCTAGACCCAACATCGAAATAGCCTGTGATATTATGCACATTTTAGATCTATGTGCATATCATCACAGGCTACTTGAATGTTGGAGCAAGTTTTTTTTTGTTTTTTTTTACTGTCTGTTATTTTGTTAGTTAAATTATTTTATTTTATTTTATTTATTTATTTATTTATTTATGTATTTATTTATTTATGTATGTATGTATTTTTGCTAAAAGTTTTCAGTTTTTCTAAGTGAAAATAATCATGCAGAATTACTGTCCATTTGATACTTTAACATATTGGGAAAATAATAAAACATAAAATGTGGCCTGTGCAAAAGTTATAGCACCTTTTATGTTTTCTGTACTTATAATGTTAAACTCAGCAAATAACACTCAGCAAATAACTGTCTAGTAAAATTAGCAGGAAATGTCATATTTAAGTTGTTCCCTGTAGAAGATGTGTAAACTTTTTTTTCACAGAGAAAATCAACAAAAAATGATGCACTACAAAAATCACCTCCTAATTTTTAGTATTGTACAGCAACTTTTTAGTTGATAGCCAATATTCTGGGCTATCTTCAGCAGTCTGTATGAAACTGCATTAGCATTTGTAGTTCTCATTGTCTGGGACCAAGTCCTGAGAACTTTGATTATAATATTACCGCATTGGCTGCCTTGTTGGTCCTCTGGGGGTCCTGACCGTTGGAAGAAACGTCCATTTTTACTAATTTGTCACACTTAAATCTTTCAGATGCCTTAACTAATTTTAATATCAGATAAAGACAATGCGAGTAAACAGAAAATGCAGCTTTTAAATGATTATTTCATCTACTGAAGATAAAGATAAAAAATATACAAAAGGAATTGCCCCCCTAATAACTAGTTGTGGCACCTTTGGCAGTAACAACTGCAATCAAACAATTGCGAGAACCTGAGTCTTTTACATCATTGTGGAGGAACTTCGGCCCACTCATCTTTGCAGAATTGTTTTAATTTGGCTACATAGGAGGGTTTTTCGAGCGTGAACTGACCATTTAAGGTCTTGAGATGTGATTCAAGTCAGGACTTTGACTCAATCACTCCAAAATCTTAATTTTGTTTTAGCTGCTAGCCTGCTTCACATTGGCAGACAGGTTATATTTAAGTGATGTTCAGGTTCAACAGGTCTGGCAGTCATCATGCCTGGGTGTGGATAGTGAAATTGAACCCAACAGTCAATTGAATTTGGTTAACTCGTTGATTTAGTAGCTAAAGGGCAGCTCCACCTCTCTGCTGAATGAGCTTAACAACTTCTTCGCCCGGTTTGAGACAGACAACAACATGCCTGCACAGAAGATCCCACCCCCTCCTGGAGACCAGGTGCTGACGCTGTGCCCAGTCAGTGTGAGGAGATCATTCAGCAGGATCAACGTTCGGAAAGCTCCTGGTCCTGACAACATACCCAGTCGTGTACTGAGGGACTGTGCTGGGGAGCTCACAGATGTCTTTACAGATATCTTTAACATCTCGCTGAGTCAGGCTGTTGTCCCCACATGCCTGAAAGCCACCACCATCATCCCTGTCCTGAAGAAAGTGTCACCCTCCTGTTTCAATGACTACCGTCCAGTTGCACTCACTCCCATCCTCATGAAGTGCTTCAAACGGCTGGTCATGCAACACATCAAGTCTGTCCTTCCCCCTCCCTGGACCCCTTCCAGTTTGCATATCGGCCTAATCGCTCTGTTAATGATGCCATCTCCATCGCCCTCCACTCAGCCCTCACACATCTGGACAAAAAAAGACTCATGCTTTTCATAGATTTCAGCTCCGCATTTAACACCATCATCCCCCAGCAGCTCGTTCTCAAACTGGACAGGCTGGGGCTGAACACTTCACTGCACAACTGGCTGTTAGACTTCCTGACTGGGAGACCACAGGCAGTACGGGCCGGCAACAACACATCCCGCACCACCACACTGAACACGGGAGCCCCCCAAGGATGTGTACTGAGCCCCCTCTTATTCACTCTGATGTCCCACGACTGCACACCGTCGCACAGCTCCAACCTCTTCATCAAGTTCGTGGACGACACGACTGTGGTGGGTCTCATCAGCAACAACGATGAGACAAACTACAGGAGCGAGGTGAGCTGCCTGGCCTTGTGGTGTAGACACAACAATCTCCATATGAACATTGAGAAGACGAAGGAGATTGTTGTGGACTTCAGGAGAACGTGCACCCAGCATGCTCCTTTGACCATCAACGGTGCTGCTGTGGAGAGGGTGAACAGCACCAAGTTCCTGGGCATGCACGTCACAGAGGACCTCTCTTGGGCCAACAACACAGCATCACTGGCCAGAAGGGCTCATCAGCGCCTCTACTTCCTCCGCAAACTGAGAAGAGCCAGAGCCCCAGCCCCCATCATGTGCACCTTCTACAGAGGTACCATCGAGAGCGTCCTGACCAGCTGCATCACCGTGTGGTATGGCGCCTGCACCGCGTCCTGCCGCAAGACACTCCAGCGCATCGTGAGAGCAGCTGAGAAGATCGTTGGCACCTCCCTCCACTGGACCAGGACCAGCAGACTGGATGACAGCTTCATCCACCAGGCTGTCAGGATGCTGAACTCTCTCCCTACTTTGCCCCCCCCCCTTCTGCCCCCCACACACACAGAGTTCGGACCCAAACACAGGTTCCTGACCCCCACTCCCCAATACTGAACTCTGACATTCCCAGGGAATGTTACGCACCCATCACTTTCTGTTATGCACTCATCTCTTTAACAGCTCCATAAACTCATTCTAATTGCACTACTGTTTATATTTGCACTATTTATACCCACAGACCTTAATCTGTTTGTGCCTTATTTACATTTACATTTACATGTACATCATTTAGCAGACGCTCTTATCCAGAGCGATTTACAAAAAGTGTCACTTTAGTGTTAATTTCAGGACCTTCTATATTTATTTATTTTTTATTATTCTATTTTTCTACAATTAGTGTTTATTTTACGATGAGTGTTTAGTGTTTTTTAATGTCTATTTAAATTCACACTTTCCCTGTTTACTTTCTATTTAATGTTATTGCTACACCATGGGGTCTGAGAGTAACGCAATTTCAATACTCTGTATGTCCTGTACATATTGTAGTATTGACAATAAAGCTGATTTGACTTGACTTGATTACTTTTTCACATATGGCCAGGTAAGGCTGACCAGAATTTTTCCCTCAGTAAATTAAATCCTCGTTTAAAAATCATTGTGTGTTTACCTAGGTTGTCATTGTCTAATATCAAAAGCAGTTCGATGATCTGAAACATTCAAGCGTGACAGATATGCAAAAATAGAAGAAATTGGGAAGGGGCAAATATTTCTCACAGCACTGTAGGTTCGGTGATGGTTTGGATAGTAAATAAAGTGGCTACAATTGTGTTGCAGGGATCGCGACCCCTGGTTCTTATCATCACCAGTGTAAAGAAATCAGAAAAGAGTAGAAAATAGAAAGTTTCTCCCCAGCAAAGCATTTTACACAAAAACAAATTTTGAAAAATCGGTGGCGTTCCCCTTTAACGCTCACCCGGACCAACAGATGGCGGTAAACGGTCCTTTGCTGGGTTGTAAGGATGTTAGGAAGGTGTAGTAGAGCTGCTGTGGACGTCGACGCGGTAGCGCTGTGGGGCTGTTTGGACTTCTTGGACTGTTATGGGGCATTTAGCCTTTTAAAGCCACGAAATGACAACGTTTAGGTTCGTTTAGTCAGCCTGTAGCTTAGAGTTCGTGAAGAAAAAGCGACGCTTGCTCGCTGGAGGTAGTTGTGAGGTGTTAGCGCGGTGCTAGCTAAGTCGTAACCGTCAATGCCAGCATGGCAGCGGGCAGCCAGAGTCCCGGCTCGGGAGGCGGTGAAGACAAGCTTCCCTCTCGCAGACAGAGCGAAGGTAAGGTCGGCTCAGTGTTGTTTGGTAGAACCACAGGGTCGTAATGTCTGCTCAGAGGCATCCCAGTTAGCTAACAGTGCTAAACGGTCATTCTTTCTGTTTAATTGAAGCAAAGCCAGGCCAGGGCAGAGCTGAGCTTACCTGACAGGTTCTGCAGGTTCCAGAGTGTCTGTAGTTACCTAGTGTGCTTTTAAAAAAGATGGTTTTTCAGTGAAGACAGTGGTTCTGTACAGAACATTGAACACGCAAAGAACAATTTACATGCTTAAGTGGTTCTTTGGCTGGGGAAATCGTTCTTCATATTGATGGAGGATATGTTGTGTATGGCTTGGCTCTATACAGAACCGTTTTGAAAACGGTTCTTTATAGCACCAGAAAGGGTTCTTGTATTGTTACAAGCTTGACATCGTAACAGCAGAACTTTTTCATTCTGTGTAGAGCCATGTACAACACATTTTCCATCAATCTGAAGAACCTTTACCTTTATGCTAATAGTTCTTTGCATGTTCGTGGTTCTATATAGCATCTTTTTAAGAGTGCTCCTCTATGGCCAAATGTAAGAAGGAAGATTAGATCTTGACTGATGGGATTGACGAGTCTCATTAATATGCAAAGACTCGCTACTGACCTGCTTAACAGAGCTCTGCTAAAACAAATGTGTTTAGGTTATATTGGGATTCAGTATAGAAGAAGGTTATTGAAGGGATGTGTGCTATAACAGTGAGATAATGGACTTTTTAATGGTCATGGCTGAAGTGGTCATACCTGTAGGACACCAGGTGCTGACGTGGACGGCACCTGGAATGTGTTGTGTTTGAATTCTGAAAGCTCTTTAGTGTAAACTAGGAAGATTATCTGTTACACGTGAGCCATCAGTGGGGCAGAGTGTTGTTCAAATGTTCTGGACACTGATACTTTCACTTTAATATCAGTTCTTAAACAGCTTTTTGATACTTTCTTCTAAGTGCTTAAAAATGATGTGTTGAAGACGTTGCATTTCTATATTGATGTAACACCTATTACTGATTTTAGTAACAGGCTTGTTGGCTTACTGATTCTAATAAGACTACCTTGGTATTGAGATCTGATATATAAGTTGAATTGAATTTTGATACTCAGCCCTAATTAGCAGTAATCCAATCTGTGTGGTACCTCCATATTTTTACTCCTGCCATTTGACACTTTGACACATACACTCCCTTTCCAGGGGAGCAGGATTTCAGCTTGAAGCAAATATATACCTTTCCACACCTCAGCCTATTGTCAAACCTGTGCCATTATCTATGCCCCAATGATGTATCAAATGCCTTCAGTCTCATTGCCCTGTTCTCAATGGGGACAATACAGAAAGGCATGTAAAGAGGCTGTTTGCCCAGTCAGTGTCTCATGTATCATATGTCAACTGCAAGATAATAGAGGTAGTATCATGTTCAAAGTTCGAGGTGGGAGATATAAAACAGGATATTAAACAGGACCAATTATGCTTTCTTTGTAATCAAACATGCAGTTGCTCTGTGTTTTTAAGTACTGAGGATATCCACAATATGCTCAGAAAATCATGCTGTGACATTATTGTGACTTGCGTATCACAATAATGATAACATCGTATTGTCCATCTTTATGTCACAACACAAGAGGCTGCATCAATCCGATATCGGGTATCGGGTATCAGCTAGATACAAGCAGAAAATGTGGGATTGGATATAGAAGGGGGGAAAATATGAATCCTATAACAAAGCACTCCCTCACAGTGTGTGGTGTTGTTAGCTGTGTACTTCTGCCTGTGGAGTCAGTAGAGTGTTTTTTAGAGTATTTTGAGCCTGATAGCCTACTTAGGTAATCATCTTAAGTAAGGTGATTCAACTGAAAATAGCTTTAAAACATAGTAGTTCTCAATATGAAGTATTGGATCAACACTAATGGTTTCAATGTAGATATAGTTTAAGGCTGAAACAATTATTCGTGATTATCTGTAATTTCGACAATAATAAAAAAAAATCAACGTTTCCAATTTTCAAATACATTTTCAAAGTGACATCCAGCCTAGACTGAGTCATTCCCTTAAGAGGGCAGCAGTTCACTTACAGTGTCATACCTATGTGAGCAGATTTCGAAAGAAAAAGGACTATAATCTGCGAGTATTTCCTTGAAATGAAGGATAAACTACTCTCTGAGGATGAGGAGTTTGCACTCTAGGTGGTTTGTCATATTGCGCTACTGTTCCCCTTACAAACATTACTAAAACTCATCATGTTGCATCATTAACGATAGGATGATGACTAGGATGTTCTAAGCCAGTGTTTCCCAATCCTGGTCCGGGAGGCCACTGCCTTTTAGGTTTTACTGTTTCCCCTGCTTCCTACACACCTGACCCAACCTGATTTACAGCTCATTATTGAGTTAAAGTGGTTGTGTTAAAGCAGGAAAAGCACTAAAATGTGCAGGACAGTGAGCGTCCAGGACCAGGGTTGAGAAACACTGTTTTAAGCCATTTTAGTTTATGTTAATTAGAAGGATTTAGCAGCTACTTCAAAATCTGTTGAACATTCAGAAGCTTATCCTGTTAGCGTTACCTGCATTAGCTAGCAGACTACATAGCACTGGTTAATGAGCTTAAAATACATCTGCTCATTCTGCAAACCTTTTCACGCATAACTCGTCTAGTTGACTAGCACACAATTGTTGAATTGGGTAAATGATGCCAGTGTGACACTGTTTTTTGTTTTTTTTTGTTTTTTAACCCCCTGTGAGGGTAATTTAGGTGGTCAAATAGTACCTCAGTTTGTCAGAACAATGCCAAACATATCATTGTCACAGCTTCTCACACTTAAAGGTGATTATCAGTTAATTCACATGATAATCAACTATCAGAATGTTCCTTTTTGCAGCCCTAGCATCGTTATCGGCCAATAAAGAGCAGTATTGTGTCACCTCTACACAGTACACTTCTCTGGGCTTATCATCAGCACTTAAAGAACACTGAACAGTTGCATGGTTCATTACAAAAAGAGCAAAATTAGTCACTGATTATTCGATTATATAAATAAAATAAAAATTGTTAAAGTTTTTGAGAGTGTTTTTTAAACATGGCACTGCAGGTTCTTTTTGTCTTTTTCTTTGTTTTCAAACTGAAACTAAGCATTGTGTATCTTCAGAATGTCTTCAAGTTAGGGCTGAATAATTTGGGGAAAATATCAAATTGTAATGTCTCAGACTAGTATTGTGATTGCAATTTTAATATTGCTATAACATTGTAATATTGCTTTAGGGTGCCAGACCGCCAGTTCAAAAGCTATGCGCCATTAAAATTTCTGCACCTACAACTTAAGACAGTGTTGAACGAAGTTATAATTAAAATAACAGCTATTGGGATTTGAATTTCTTCAAGTATCTTCAAGTATTGATATATTTCTTGCACAGTGCCCACCCCTAGTTGAAAACTGTTTAACATTTGCTAATAGATTATTTTACCATTGTAATGTTTTAGGAGACCCAAGTTTGGATGATGTAACATTCAAATAGTCGTAGGTTATATTTAAATTGTGTCCCAGTAAGAAGATATTGTTTAATTTTTTTCCTATTGTTGATCCAGATTATGATCAGCAATAGTTTTAGACAATTGTTTTCTTCATTAATGTTTTTCCTACAGTATACAGTCGTACTGCCCTACAGTGTGAGTATTAATGAGTGGGGGTGGGTGGACTGAATGGCGTCACTGAGAGCATGAATGGACTGTTTGTTGTTGCGTAACTGGGGTGTTGCCAAGGTGGAGCAGGCAAACATTTTCCTAAGTGCCAACAGCAGTAGGTGTGCCTTCGGTCCAGACCAGGACAAACTGATCTCTCATATCCTTGATTTCTTAGATCTTATGTTGAGACTGTGAGACAAGTGCAGTTTGCTAACATACAAGTTAAATAGATAGTGCTTTAGACTTTTAAAGGTGTTCGATAAAGTTTACCTATATATAATGTCCTGCTGTCTAACAATGGATTAAAAGTGTTTGAGGTTGTTGAAGGCCATCCCAGCAGTTAGCATAGTGTTCATTCTCTCACTACAGCCACCTCATAGTGCTTCTTTGTACCAGTCCAGGCATATGTCCAGACTTCTGTTTGTCCACTACTTTAAAGGGGAGTTCCACTGATGTTTCTAAATTTCTAAAGTTTTTCTAAACTCGAAACTATTTTACCTTAGAACAGCCTGCATGTACTTTTCCACCATGAATGGATACATTCCCACACTCGAGACTACTGTAGAACAATGTCTGATCAGGCAGTGTATTCATCATAACCATTCCTTGTAATAACTTTGTGTGATCAAGCTTGTAGAGCAGGGGTGCTCAGTCCTGGTCCTGGAGATCTACCACCATGGAGAGTTCAGATGCAACACACCTGGCTCGTAAAGTCAGATGCCCCTGAAGGCCTTGATTGCTTGGATCAGGTGTGTTACATTAGGGTTGGAACTAAACTCTGCAGATCTTCGGGACCAGGATTGGGCACTCCTGTTTTAGAGGGATTAAATGTTTGACATCTGGTTCCTATCACCACCACTGTGAGCAGTTCTCTCAGTAAGTTTCCCTAGAGCAGAGCGTTTCACATCAGAACACACTGGAGGTGTCCAATCTTATCCACAAAGGACTGGTGTGGGTGCATGTTTTCGTTCCAGGCAAGAAGAGCACACCTGATTTTACTCGGTTAATCCGTCACTCTCAGTCTTCAAACAACTGAGCCTGTGTGCTCCTGTTTTGTTGCAATGAAAACCTGCAGCCATACCGGATCTTTGCAGATAAGATTGGACACCCCTGTCTTAGCTATTTAATTATTCTAAAATTTTTGAAGAATATGGTGTATTCCCCTTTAAAGATCAGTTCTTTGCAGTTTTGCCTTCACTTTGTGCTTCTATTTCATAATGTGGTCCATGAACACAACACATGATGTATTTTGCAAAATAGTTTAAACTTTTTCTACTCATTGTTTGTGTTTGTCAACAGCCAACAAGAAGCTGAAGTACATCAGTTTAGCGATTCTGGTGATCCAGAATGCCTCGCTCATCCTCAGCATCCGCTACGTGCGGACGTTGCCGGGTGACCGTTTCTTCGCCACATCTGCTGTGGTTATGGCGGAGGTCCTGAAAGTCTTCACCTGCCTCGTTCTCATCCTGTTTCAGAGGAAAGGTATGTTGTCCTTACCGCGTTGAAAGTCTTGCTCACTTCCTTATCACTCAGTCACTGAGTCACTTGAGTAAGTTAATCTATTCGTGCTCTACCCACAGAAATCTGGGTTGACTTGCCCGGTTAGACAAGTTTTAAGAACATTGACCAAAATCTAGTGATGCATGATAATATCGGAATAAAAATGCTATCAACAGAGAATTGCTTAAAAAATATGACCGATGTTTAGATTTGACTGATATTTTGAACTGATATTTGATTAAATATTTATTGTAATCTGGAAGAGCAGAATATTTAGGTGACACTGAGCTATTGTGCTAAAATGTCTGCCTTTAATTCATTGTACTCCGTTTGCAACCAAATAGAAGTAAATGTTTTATTTCTTTGTAATGGTAATCCAGATAGATTTAGACATGTTCCTGTACCAGATATCAGAATAGGACCAGAATTCCAATGTCGGTTGCATCCCTACAAAACACCTATACAGAAATTATAGCACATTCTGTGTAGAGTTGCTGCGTAACATTGAGTTTCCTGTTTAAAATGCTATGCCACCGAACTATACTACCAAACTATGTTGTAGCTAATTGCAACTAGGCAGGGCAGAAGCAACACCAGCAAGTTTAATACAATGTCAACATTTGTCAGGTTATAAAAAAACCATCCAGTCTATCTCAACACTGTGACCTCTCATACAGACGCAAAGCAAATCTCTTACAGGAAGTCATGTTCAGCAGTTTCTCAGTAAGTTGGGCAGGAAGTTCATCCAACACTGCAGCAGTTGACATATGTTAATGTACTTGTGGGTGGAGCATGTTTAAGTCAGTTCTCTGTTAGCTGATTTTTCCAGCTACAGAGCGAATGTTAAATATCTCTGTACTGATTTAATGATGTGAAATAATAAATAAGTAAATAATGGATTGTGTGCTGGATTGTGTCTCTTTCTGTCTGTGAATGTAGGGAATGTGAAGGAGTTTGTGGTGTTGCTGTTTGACTCTATAGTGGTCCAGTATTGGGACACACTGAAGTTAGCAATTCCATCACTCATCTACACCTTACAGAACAACCTGCAATACGTGGCCATCTCAAATTTACCAGCAGCCACTTTCCAGGTGAGGAACCCACTGACCATCTTTTCTTTCTTTCTTTCTTTCTTGTTTTCTTTCTATTCTTTTTTCCCCTATGTCTTATTTTCTTTCTTTCTTTCTCCGTCTTTTGTCTTGATTTTTCCTTTGTGTTCTTTCTTTCCCTCTCTCATTTTCTTTCTTTTCCTCTCTCTATCTCTTTCTGTCTCTCTCTACAATGATGTAATTGTTGATCTTCTCTAGTTGTCTCTACAACGTCCCCCACACGTGTACTCTCTTTCTGTAGGTGACATACCAGCTAAAGATCCTGACCACAGCGTTGTTCTCAGTGCTGATGCTGCGAAAGAGCCTGTCCCGGGTGCAGTGGGTCTCCTTGCTGCTCCTCTTTGCTGGCGTGGCCATTGTCCAGGTGGAGCAAGATGGAAGCAAGCAGAAGGAGGCTATAGGCTCCTCTGCTAACCAGAACTACGCCAAAGGCCTGGTGGCAGTGGTGGTGTCATGCCTGTCCTCAGGCTTCGCTGGTGTTTACTTTGAGAAGATCCTGAAGGGCAGTTCAGCCTCGGTTTGGCTCAGGAACGTACAGCTGGGCATTTTCGGCACTCTGCTGGGCCTGCTGGGCCTGTGGTGGAACGATGGTGCCGCCATTGCTGAAAAGGGCTTCCTCTTTGGTTACACGCCCATGGTGTGGGGTGTGATCTTCAACCAGGCCTTCGGGGGCCTGCTGGTAGCTGTGGTGGTGAAGTATGCGGACAACATCCTGAAAGGCTTTGCCACCTCCTTCTCCATCATCGTGTCCACAGTCATGTCCATCTACCTCTTCGGGTTCCATGTGGACCTACTCTTCACAGTGGGTGCTGGACTAGTCATAGGAGCCGTGTACATGTACAGCCTGCCCAAATCTGCAGCGCCATCGTCCAGCACCAGGTCCTCGCTGTCCTCTTCAAACCACAACAACAGGGCCGGAGATTCAGAGACGGATGAATTCCTTCCAAAGTCAGTGCTGGTGAAATGAGCCTATCTGCAAGGTTTTTCCTTCTGCGTCTCCCCCCATATGCTTCTTTCTCATCGTTCACAACTTTCTTTTCCAGTAATCCCTCATTGGTTTGTCACCCTGATTCTAATTTTACCCTAGTTCTTCTCTTTCCGCTGCTTTGGGGGTGGTTTTTCAACTACCTGCTGTCTTTTTTTCGCTTGTGAAGAAGAGTCTATTGAGCTGTGGGCTGGGTTGTCAGTATGCATACAGTCATGCTGAAAGCAGGTTACTACACAAGGTTGAACTGAATGACTTGGGCTTTATCTTCTGCTCCTGGAGAATTGCCCTCCTGCTAAGTTCAGTTCCAGCCTGTGCTGAGTGTCGCACACGCTCTAATTTTCAGATACTCTTCAAAACTTTAATTAACTGGAACAGGTGTGTTGGGAACTGAACTCTGCAGTGGTGTAGCTATCCAGGAAATGGGTTGGGCGCGTCTTGGCCATCAGACTTTTTACGCCTTGAAGATTTTAGCTTATAATTTCTGAAAAGCACAAAGTCTGGACAGAGGTAGCTGGCTTTTTGTGTGTATACAATATCACAGTGAGATATCAGTTTGGTACATCTTCATTGTTTCTGCTATATGCCTTAAACACCATTCTCTTCTTAAGAAAAAGACATAAACTGGGCACACTGGAAGTAAGCAGTCATCAGGACAGTTCTTTTCACTTCTGTTTATCCAAGGCCAACCAAATACTAAAAAATGTCCTAGCTACTGGGGATGCACTGATCATAGATTTTTATGGCCGGTTCCGATTTCTTTACTGCTGTGTTGGCTGATGGCAGAATTTCTTGGCCGACTTTTATAGGACTTTAGTTTCCCACCTGAAGCTCACACTGTGAGGGCTAAATGAACACATCAAACACACTCGCACATTTCCTGTACTTTCTGCCAAACTTGCAACATGAATAACATTTCCTCTTTAGTGGACCAAACTTTGCTATTTAAAGCTACACTATGTAAGATTTATGCATTTGGAAACCTCTCTAGTAGAAATGTGTAATTGCACAAAATGTGCGGAAGAACATTTTATAATGTATATTGTGCTTCGGACCCGTTCTCTGACCAGATGACCTTGATGATTGCGAGGGCGTTGAAAGAGTATTGAAAGAGAACTCAGTCAAAACTTGGTGAATGATGTCTTATTTTGCATTTGAGACCCCAAACATTGAGCCAGACTTTTTTTTAGGCTGTGCGTCTGATGTTGATACATAAAGACTTACGACACAGTCTGAAGAACTCCCGCAAAATCCGACCTGACGCTCGTGCCTTTGATATTACCATTTCACGCTTTACATAGCGACCCGCAGCAGCACACAAACCCCATATTTTGGTGTGTTTCCTTCTGAGTCAGTCATGCTACTTTCAATTTTAAACAAAAAAAATCTTACATAGTGCAGCTCAAATGAAAAAAATTGGTGGCTTTTTAAAAACTGTGAATCAAATACAGTGCAGCACCAAAAGTAAGAGGCAACTGGCAACTTAGCACAACGAGTAATGCATAATTATTCTACAACATATGTCATTTTGATTCCTGCTGATTCTGATTTGTGCATCCCTACTAGCTGCTTGTGTTCATTTGTAGCAGCTTCCCTAAGATGCTAGCAAGAAACACAATGTCTAGTTAAATGAGCAGTTTAAGTGCCAAAATTATAGGTAGCAAAGTGCTTTTGAGAATTCATTGGCTGCTCTTTCTGATACAATGTTTTTTTTTGCAGTAATGGTTTCTAATAACACCATGACTGAAGTCACTGTAAATTGATTTGCATATGGTTACATTGTGGCAGTAAGTTTGTAATTACTGTGCAGAACTCAGTCTGAAACATAGTGACTTGTGGGAAATTCTGATTTTGTCAGGCAATTTAGTATGAAAATACTTTTATCGGCCTTAAATAATCAAATTATGGCCTAATAATTCATTGACATCCACAGTCTTCTTATTCAGATCTTGTCTACATAGTGCTTCGCCTGCTTTAGCAGACCTGTTTAATGATCATCTGTGTTGAAGCAGGGAAAGCATTAAACTCTGCAGTTCTCTGGCCACCTGTGACCAGATAATCCACATAATTAAATACCCCAGAGTGGGCTCATATGAGCTCTGACCTCATCTTAATTTGACATTCTGGAAATTTATTCAAACTCTGCATTTTCCCCCTTTCTTTCTCCCCACCCCACTGGACTTGAGCTGGATACAGTAGAAACTTTCATGATCCTTGATCCTTATAATTTGATTGGTGAGCTGCTCTGTGGGTCTTTCTAATGAACTGTCTGGAATGTTTCTCAGTCTTTCAAGTGTACATACACTCAGCCTCTGCACTTACAGTACATTTCTGACTGGACTAGGGGTTCACCAGTACTCTTCACAGAATCAAAATTGTGTAAAAACTGAGGGGCTGGCAACTATAATGTGTATCAATATATGACAAAAAAACTAAAGAAAATGAAACGACTGGAATATGTAATGATGGGCTGCTGAAACTTCTGTATTCAGAAGTTACATTTATCACTCATTACTAGCTCAAGTTAAAACTCACTGTACCTCAGTAGCCCTCGAAAGCCATCACCATCCACCCTGTCCGTCTTTATGATGTTGCACACCCATGTTTAGTTGTCTTATTGCTTGCGGATGGTTACTTTTGAAATGGCACACCGTTGAAGTTGTGCTGTCGTCCTCTGGGAAAAATAATTACAAACATCACTAGTTTTAGTTTTTTTAGTAGGTGGAACCAGTTGCCTATTGCGCCCTTCTATGTATAGTTCAAAAATGTTCCTCAACTTGAATGATAGACCCCCTGTTCAAACAGGAACTGTAGTTTACTAGAAACAAAAATAAACTTAAAATGACATATATTTAACCGATCAATTGTTTATCGGTTAACCAGTTCATTTGCATCCCTAGCTAAAACATTCACTCCTATTATGAGAGTCTGTTGTATCTTCATTAAATTTATGAGTGTAAATTGGAACATGATGTAATGATTTCTAGATAGACCTATATCCTAATGGCATTCAGAGCAACATCTTAATCACTTTATCAGTCTGTAATTGATACTGGCCTATATTGAAAATTAAAGATGATGATTTATTATTATTATTATTATTATTATTATTATTATTTGCATTGACCTTCTGAAAAAGGTATCGGTGGACCCCTAGTTAGCGCTGACTAACCCGGTTCTATCCCACCAACATGGCATCTAACATAACGAACATGTATGTGTGAATGTGTCTGTGTGTGTGAATATGAGCAGGGGGGTAGATTTTTTTTTTCACCAGTGCTAAGAAAAGAAAAAAAAAGGTTAACACTGTGCCTTTTTCAATGCACTTGTGACTGTATAGTAACCAATGTCAAGTTTTACAAATGTAAATAATATAAAATTATTATATCCTAATTATTTTGATTTGATGTTTCAGTCATGTTACATATTGTATATTTTTTTTTTGCTGCAAATATTTGATACAAATATGCCAAAATTCTTCTTTCATTAGGTATTTTTAAAAAAAAGCAAGGTTTGTGGAGATGGAAAAACCATTGGAGATGTACACTTGAGTATATCTCATGAATGTTATAATTTTGGGTGCACTTAATGTATATTCGCCAGAGCACATGGTGACCGTTGGTGACTAATGAAGGATGAGCATTTAAAGGGGTCGGGGATAAGTGCAAAGAGTAAAGGGGTGGTTTTATTATCATTTTGAAGGTTTACAGCATATAAATCATGGAGACTTCCCTGGGCACAAGGCTGCTTTTTACACATTAGAAGGACATTCTGTGATTTTTCTTTTTATTATTTAAGCAAAATATTATTCTTTGGAACTGATTCTTGTATCGTTTTCTGGTTTTTGTTTTTGGAGGAATGTTGTTTTTTTTTTGGGCCCAGATGAGTTTATTGATTGCTGAGGAGGAAAGGTAATGAGGTGGTAGTTCACTGGATTTTATTTTATTTTTTATTTTTTATTGATTCTTTTATCCTTGTATCCGTTGGAGGTCCTATCAGTGACAAAAGAGCCAGTGTCTTCAGGCAGCTAAAGTGAATGTTTGGGTGTGCTTGATTGGATTTTCAGGGATGAGAATATTCACTAAAGCCATTCTGACACTAAAGCCCTGATTCACTAAGACCATAAGCTAATGTCTACAGCTGTCCTATGTATTATGCACTGCAAATGAACTACATATGGGCAGCATTTTCTGTGAAGACCAACGAAGTTGACCCTGATGTTGACTTGAAATGCTACGTAATGTAAGACATACAGTTGTATACAGAAGTTTTGGCACCCCTGGTCGATTTACATATTTTGTTGATTTTTTGAGTGAAAATAAGTTCAACATGTCCTCTACAGAGAACACACTTCTGCACATCACATTTGCTGAAATTAATCTATTGGCAAAAAAATAATAAAACATAAAATGTAGCCTTTGCACAAGTTGTTTTTTTCCCCCAATCTCTTGAGCAAATAAATAGAAACTGCAGTAAATTTTTCAGAACAATGCTCGTATGTAAGTTGCTCCCTGTAAAGGATGTTTTAACTAAAGCCCTATTCGAGCTGGATTAGTTTTATTAGAGGAGGTCCAGTAAAGTAATTTGTAAGGGATCCGACTGGCCAATTCATATTGCATAATGTATCTGTGTAGTTTCCCCAAATTACCCCAGAAAGCCCAGGCTGAAATTAATTTGACTGTTGAGTTTAGAGTTAAACAGTTCCAAACAAACAACAAAAATGAACCAGGTAATAGTAGATAGAATAGCATCAGGCTTGTAAAGTGGCCTCATTCAACTTAGCAAATGTTGCGCAGCAGGACAGAAATCACACTGCCTTGTAAGAAGTACCTAATTTAGTTTTTATTCTCCTTATAATCAGCCCATTGTCAAAATTTTTGTAGATTAGTCACTGGTTCTGTTTTGAACTTGAGGATAAACGAACAGTGTGAAGTTGAGCTCTGTTTGAGTGGTTAGCCTTGTC